TATTATTATTTATTTATTTATTTATTGTTACAACGAATTAATTTTAAATAAGCCAGAGCAACAAAAACCTTCAGGCAAATTATATTATTATGTTACTTTAATGAATTTAAAAAACATATTTTTGTCAAAACCTACTATAAATAACTAATTATTGTCAATTCAATTTAATGTTGGCAATTAATTGGAAGCTCTGATTGTTGTAGATTGCCTCAACTTCATGTTCTTCCACTGATAGAATCGGATAGAATTTATCTACTATGCTCTAAGCTTAGTAAATTATAGTTAATTATAGCCAGGAGCTCTACAAGTTCGAGCTACATTGGACATTGGAGCTTGACCTTTTGACAATAGCGAGAAATTAAACTAGAGTTTAAACTAAAAACTAAATGGGTTCATTAATTTTAACTAGACTTGAGGAAGATTTTTGTTGTTTCAAAGTTGACTAAAAAGATGAAAGCGAATAAAAGCCTTAGATTGTGAGTTGAAGCATGAACAATACAAATGTTACTTCTATTACTTTATGTAAAATTCAGCTGTATAGACATAAAGTATTTGAGATTACAAATTTTCGAATAACAGAAAATACTGGGTCTATCTAATATAAGAAATTTAAATAAAATTTGTAGTAAAATTTACTACAATTTCAACACTTTCATCATGATTATGCCAAAAATATGACGAAAAATAATTAACTTTCATCAGATTTTCGATAGTCGCAAAAATACTTTCATAATTATATTCTGTTATGCCAGAAAGTGTCAAAATTTGTCAACCAAATTAATGTTTGCTCGAGTGACGCCAAATTGTGATTCCACAATTATATGACAGCTAATCTAGAGCTAGATCTGGAGACAAAGTCCAGACACCTGCTTTACTGCCACTCGAAGAAAACTTGGATTTCTGTATATTTCTTTTGATTTATAAAAATAATGCAAATATTTTGCATTGAACAAAAAAATTCCAATTTTTATTTTTAGAGCGTTTATTTTTTTTTTTTTAATCCATTTGAGACCAGCCTTAACCGTCACGTAGCCTCGCAGCATGGCATTTCCGAATTCATATTTGCGTAAATCAAACATTTTTGCTTTATTTACAGATTTTCAGCTCCTTTTGTCTCTCTGCGGCTTTGCAACACGTCGCACGCTCAGGGATCTTTGCCATGTTTGCACGTTGCACATTTATTTTAATTTCTTGCTGATCTTTTGCAAATAGGCTGGGCAGCAGAGGAGAGATTATCTCGCTAGCTCGCTCGCTCGATCACAGGCACAGCTGGGACTGGGAATGGAGCTCGTTTGGCTGCCTGCAAACTGCTCATTAGTTTATTAATTAAGTTGTGTTCGGCTGGGCTCGACTCGGCTGGGCTGAGGCAGCTCATTCAGCTCAGTTAGCTCAGCTGCCTCTGTTGCAGATTTATTCCCGGCCATTATGAGAATGGTCTATGGCAGGGCAATGGCTGCAGTCGCTGCTTAATATTATTATGCTCGTTGCGGCATTTATTTTAAATTGTTTTGCCCGGCCTAATGATACCCTCGCACAGCGATGGCCCCAACGGCACTTAAATCGACAGTAGTTGCGCTTTAACGCCTGGACCTGGCCCTGGTTCTGGCCCTGGCCCTGTCCCTGGCCCTGCTTCTGGCCACAAACTCATCCCCATTCGCGCGCTAAGTGGAAGGTGTTGAGAAAATGCACAAAAATTAATCATTTTATAATTACTAAATTGCCCAAAGGGCAACATAAGCAACAAGCAGCAAGCCAAAAGCCAAAAGCGAGAAACAAACCGAAAGTTGAGCAATTTTCCAACTCCAAGAATTTAGCATTTGATGAGGCGCTAACGAGAAATGTGGGCGATGCTAACAAATGGCTCTACTCTAAGCATAGGCATCTCGCTTTGGGCATCTATGGGTAGGAGCCAAAGACATATGGAAGATGACGTCATCCGGTCTTTAGGCGCAGCCAGCGCAGTGAACGCCCCACAGCGATCAAATCGCACGACCTTGACGCATTCTGCAGCGCATAACAAGCGGCATTCGGTTCAACCTGATCTCAGGTGCTCCTGTGTGTGCGCTGCTCTCGCTTCGCTTTTCACAATTTGCACGCGCTCCAACATTTTGATACCC